GATTACTACTATAATTATTTAACCTACTTAATCATTGACAAGATAGCTTAAGCTACTTAAACGTTCTTCGAACTTCTTCACTTCTATTCATCTATTCATTCAGAATTTTTTACACTCATATCTCCCCTCCGTTCAATAACCAACAATCCTCAGACAATTTCCTATTAATTCTCCCGGAAACATTCCTCCCATGTGTGAAACTTATTCCTCGATGATTACACGTGGATTCTAATTATTGCTCGATATTCTCTCTCTCTCTCTCTCTCTCTCTCTCTCTCTCTCTCTCTCTCTCTCTCTCTCTCTCTGCACCTCCTTCCCCATCGTTTCATACCTCTTCTATACACGCATGAGACTAGAACTACTGTTAACAAGCAATTTAAATGTGCATTCATCAAACTGGCGACGCGTGCACACTTACTAGTCGTATCGAATCCATCCTCGAACGGGCATCTCTGCTTGATCGTCGTCGACGCTTTGGTAGGCGGCCAACAGAGCAACGAGTCCCAGACCGGCTCGCACCACAGTTCTGCAAAAAGAACAGGATAACGTGCGAGGATACGTGAACAGCATTACTGTCACCACACGTTCCCCCGTGACGGCGTTGGCGTTTTATACAATTTCATATCTGCTCTCAGAGAGATGATATACCACGTGCACTGAATTTTATAGGAATACTTGCAATCTAGTTTACACCCATTCTAGAAAAGAAGGTCTTGCTACTTTATATTTCAGAACGCTGGTAGTTCCCTTTTACAGTGTAAATATCGAGTAAGTACTTGGATTGATATTTTTTTAGAAGTAGAGTTTGATACACTTGGAATTGTTTTGTAAGGTGTAAATGCTGCTGTAGAAGTTGCCATGGTACTTAGATTGAGATTGTACTATTTTGCTGTAGATTTCAGTACAGTGATACTTTCTCTTTTTAACGTGCAAACGGTGCAGGATGTTAAGTGAATGAATTTCTAAACCTTACAGCTGAAAAAGAATAATTCTATTTCAGTCTCTGAAGTACATTCTTGTAACCCCATAAAATTTCTGTAGATACAATGCAAGCCAACTACTAAGTGAATGAGTCCCTCAATCTTCAAGTTGATGGAGTGAACATGATTTGCAGAAGGAAGCAGAGGCAGGACAAGGAAATTCAATTTGTCTTCTTAAGAATGAATGTACGTATGTATGTGTCTCTGAGGCTGTTTCGTAGAAAGACGAGCAGTTGTGACAAAATCAAGCCGGAGGAGCAGTGAAAGGTTTCCCATCTCAGGAATTCCAAAAATATGGCGTCAGCATTGCATACGAAATTTTCAGAGAAAGATTGAAGAATTTCGAATATCGACCTAAGAAAGTCTACAGGGTATTCTTTATGTTTCCAACCAATCATTCTCTCTCTCTAGTTGTACAAAAATTATCAAAACACTCTGCGTTTCCACAAAGAGGCAACTAATAAAAAATTTCGCTCTGAAAAATAATTTCCAAATATGAACACCAACGAAATCCAACGTAACCTGACAAAAGAATAATATTACAAGCATGAATTATTGAAAACATACTCACCACCCTCTGGAGTGGCGAAGTTCTTGTATCTGGCGCTGCAAAAGTCCTGTGAATTGTTGCCAATAGTATAAGGGGCGTCCATATTTCTTCTAATTGTCCATTTTCACATTCCCTGGCGCCTCTACATCTTCATCCTCGCGAATCAACAGAAACTTCTATCAAAAGGCAGAGCAAACGCGTTTCTCCTCATGTTTCTTCCACCTTTCTTCATTTCTTGGCTTGTTTAACCTATTCTCTAGCAGAATTTCTCTTCTCCAATGGAAATCCCGGCTCGTCGATCGTTTTTCACGGGTGAATTCTGACGGGCTTAATCCTTTATTTTGCGCGAAGGAACGTAGCTAGAGGGAACAGGAATTCCTTCTGAGTTAGTGGAAGTTCCAGGCTCGCACGACTCTTTGTACCTTTGATTCACATTGCTCTCTGTCTACACCAATTTTATCTTCACGTTATACTCGTTCTTAGACGCTTTGTTGCTTTCATTCAATGACCCCTTTTCACTCAATGACTTCTTTTTCTACGCTTGAAATAAATGTGGAACGTTCAACCAACGTTCCAAGCTCTTTAATAACCTTGATTCCTTCACTCTTTTATCTTATAGCTTCTCTGTAGCTTTAAACATCGCTGTTTAGGAACATTGGTCCATACACTGTCAGAGTTGAGACTTGAAGAATTTTAAGTTGGTACACCGACTGTCTCTTCTTCAAAGAGCCTCACCTGAAACAGCAAAGTAGGCATTGTTAGTTGTGCAAGAATAAATACTGTCTATTTTCTATAATTGGATGGTTCAATTAGGCTATTTCTTAGAATCTAAAATTAACAGAATACAGTTTTCAAGCTTTCTGATGTTCATCATTTTCCAGCCATTCATTTTGAAGAACAATGTTTGCCATTTCTTAACACTCTGTTCTTCAAAATGATTAACTTGGAACTCTGAAAATATCACTATCAGAAAACTTGCTAACTTTATTCTGTTAATTTTAGATACAAAGATCTAACCAATTTTCAAGACTGTTTACTTTAATCATTTTAAAAACCTCCACTAATTCACTTAACCAAGTGACAATCTCTGCCAGTCTTCCAACTTCAAAGAAGCTAGAAGAGAAAGAAATAAAAAAGCATATCTGTCCATCTCTAGCTATCTAAAAACTCTCCAACATTTTCTCCAGAGAACCCACCACCTAAAATGAAATTAAATAAAATATCCTTGCTTGTAGAGTTTTAAGTGATCTCAAAAACGAAAAGAAGAGCACGTTAAGCCAGCGACGAAATTACCAGAGGCTCTCGAATTACTCAAGGATCTCTAAAACCGTATCTCCCTTATCTGTATTTTACGTTAACGAGTCGCTGACTCCCGACGGCAGCCACCTGGCCTGGAAACGGTTCGTTTCCGCCTGTTTCATGCTCTACGTCCACGTGTAATAATGACCCAACCCTGAGACCCTTCTTTTGTTTCTTTTGTGCCTTTCCTCAACAAGGAAACGGATTCTACTTGGCTAGAGAAGAAACTGAAGGAAAATCAGACGAGGTTAGGTCAACTGCATCATGAAGACCCTCTAAACTGGAATATTTTCTCAATTGGAACCTGTTTTCCATTTGGAGGATTTTCTTCTTTAATTTCTGTAGATATGTTAACATCTGAAAGTTGGTACAAGTGAATTAGAGATTCTTCTGTAACTTTATGATTGCTTTAAAAGTTTTAACAGTTTGAAACTGGTCCCAACTGGAGAAGTCAGTGATAGGGCAGACAGAGCACAATTTTAATACTGTATATTTGATTTAGACAATTTCATAATTGTCTGGTGTAAGTTGAGAATTATATGTTTAAGCGTAGAAAGCTTCTTCTGGGTTTAGAAGCAGATGGAAAGTTGGATAGTTCATCATGAACTGAGAATTTAGGAAACTACTTCAATTTCAAGTTCTGACAGTATCATGTAGACATGATATTCTGTATCAAATTGAATATATACCAAAGTCCTGTGGAGGTGGAAATTTTTATGAGCAAACTTTCAACCCTGGTAGAGGTTCAGAAGCGTATAAACAGAATCCCAGAAGACTGGAAACTTGTTTGTCTAGAAGCACACTAATAATCATTCTTCTGTTCAGCTGAAAAAAACCAGTCCTATTTCTGTGTGTTGTTCATTCAAAACTAACTAAATCAAACTACATTCATTCACATGATGGAACATCCATAAATATCTTAGCCTAATATTTGAAACTCTATCAACAGTTGAATCAAAATTTTGCTTCATTCAAGTGAAAAGTTCTTTAGGTAGCTAAATAAAATTATTATATATCATTAAAATATCCTCTAATTACTAATTAGTTATCACAAACTGTGTAAAGTCATACAATTGTGTCTGATCTTAGCACTACTGGAAATAGTTGTAGCCCTCGTTAATCAAACCAAAATTTTACTTTATTTCAATGAAAAATTCTTCAATTGTTAATCACAGAATTGTTATATTACTAAAATATCCTCTAACTAGCCTCTAATAATAACGAAAAAAATCTTTAGATCGCTTGAAGCAGAACGATTGCAGTACCATTGAAAAAAGTTACAAGCCAAGTGAAAAAGTTGCCATTTCAATATCATCAGCGTCTCAATAACGCCCTCGACTCTCTCTGTCGCTACTTTTATCGTGGAACAGAGGATCGACGAGCCATAGCGACTGGAGACGGCCTGACACTCTCATTTTCGCTAGACATTGATTGCTCGCCTCTCATTACCACCTGAAAGCTGGCTGCATTGAATAAGTAGGAGTACCAACCTGACCCTCCCCTCCACGGCTGACAATAGAGCACCTCTAACGTTGAATGATCAAGACTGAAGTTCGCTTTAGAAGTTTCTGAAGGAACGAGAAAGATTTCTTCCGAGCGTGGTTAGTCATTGGAAGAGAGAAGAAATGAAAATCGATCGACGACGTGGAAAAAGGGGGGATCGTACATAGTTATACGCTGGCTTAACCTTTTGGTATATGCCTTGGGTAACCGTAGAGTTAGGTTTGAACATGATTTCGTACTTAAGTCACCAGAAATTATATTAAGTTGAGGGAAAGGTTTCGGTACTCAAATTTGGACAAGAAAATTGACGCAATAGCGATACTTGTGAAATTTACATCTAAGAACTATTTTTTGTGGTCAGGAATTGAAATTTTACAGTTATCAAACTTAAATTTTGAGCATACAAAGTTGAAGATTCATAGAAATTATAATTTATCCCGAAATAATTACTCGAAAGTCGCGGGTAATTTATGCAGAAATCAACTTTATCATCAAGAATTGCAATTTCATTGTTATAAAATACTTGAGATGGTTTTTTCCCCCTTAGTTTTAATCTTCATTTGTTGGAATAACGAGGCAGTGAGGACGAAAGGGGAGAAAATTGGCTAGAACTGGGTAAACAGAATAGAAGACAAACGCAAAACGGGCGACAATGTTTCAAGGACCGCTGCTAATTTTCACGGTTCACTCATATCGAGCGATTAACGTCAATTGCACTCTCTTTTTTTTATTACCCCTCCCCAGCAAAGTGTGCTAATCTTATTTGAGACACCCTTTGTGTCCTCTATTTATCTACAAGCAGAGAGGCAACGAGTAGAACTAGTTGAAACAGAAAAAAAAAAGAGAAAGAATAGTGGATGAAATGAACGATCGCCTGGAGCTCCTCTCCTTCCAGCATTTGACAATTCTTTTATTGGAAAAACTCGAGCCCCTTAATAGCTAAATTCGCACTCTTTTGACCCACTGAAATTCCAAGTTTTAATTGCTTCTCCTAAAAAAGTTCTATTAAGAAAAAAAGTAATAACAATTACAACGCGCAGTAACAATTTAACCTTCGTCTATGAATTCTGAAACGTCCGATACTGTGAAAAACTTGCGGAACAATTACCACGTGAAAAAAAAGAGTGGCGAAGTCGTCGTTGAAATTCGAATTTCACGACCAGCAAGTAGCTTCCAGAGCGGGGTACATAATGAGAAAGAAGAAAACGGCAGGGATTAGCTGGATCATTGCCAGAAAGTCTAGAGATCTCGCATTTTCTATCTCGTAATCGTGCTTGAATAGAGCTCCGATTCGGAAACCTCGCTGACAGGATTGTATTCTGTCCCTTGATCGTCAGTTCGACTCCAAAACGAAATTGAATGAAGGATAGGAAGAAGGAACCGTTAAACAGAGACACCCTGTATATACACTGTACATACAACTGCTTGAAGTATCCAAAAAAAGTCGTTCAATTTCAAAATTTCAAATAGAATATGTGTGTAGTACAGTGTAAAATAACAATTTGTAATTGTGTAAATTCTGAAAATTATTATTCTATAGAAAATTAAAATTAAAATACAGTGGGCCCTGACTCTGAGTGGTGGTAGAATAGAAGACAGTAAAAATTTTATAAATTTCAAAAGAAATGTAAGAACGTAAAATCAAACACTTTTGTAATCTTAGTCCAACAACTTTTGGTACATACTGTACTTAAAGATTAATATTGTAATGTCCCTTTGACGATTAATCGTCACACCCTATAGATATACTTTAAAATTTTCTTTCTTTTTGAAACCTGCCATTTTCCTACGTTTTTTTTTTTTTTTTGCAGCAGCAGGAGAATAACTCAACCTCGGAAGTGGAACGGAATAACAGCAGGCTGGATTTTATCGAGCAACAATTCACAGGGATTACAAGCTTCGCGAGCATCGCGGGTTTAAAAGCATAAAATAGACTAACATATTCGATTAAAATCGATGAAATTCGATTCCGTTAAAAAACGAGGATCCACAGTTGCTTTTCAGTGCTTGAAATTGCATGATTGAACAGCGATTATTTTTTTGCGACGCCACTGTTTTCGCGAGATGGGCACGAAAAGTGGGAAGAATCGCTCGAGGATAGAGAAAAAAACACCACAGTCAGTTGGTCGATGTTCCAGCGAGGGGAAATAGGTCAAGCAGAAGATCAACACGCACCTCGTAGAACGAATTCAGGGATGGTCACAAAATCGTTCTCCTGGAACATTTCTTACTAACTTTCACTTGCCAAATTTTCATCAAATCATCAGAAGGAATAATCTTTTTCGTTCCTCGAAACAGCAT